CCCCCCCCCCCCCGCCTCGTTTTGCCTCAGCCTAGGTCAGGAGTGATGCCTTCTCTCTTATCCATGAAGAACAGGACAAGTCCTCCTGGGACACTTTCTCATAAAACCTCCTGCTTGAGGCTTGACTGCATAGTAGATTCTGGCCCTGGAAACCCAGGCCCTGGGCTGGAGACAGGACCATGTTGTGACTGGCACAGGGGAAGACAGTGTTGACTGTCTTCTCAGAGACCTTGTTTCGTCGGCCCTGCAGACCCTGGGGTAGCACTGGTTGCATTGCTGTGGAGCGGGTACACTCTTCTTAAGGGCACCTGTCGAGATAAATTTCCAAGAGTTCACATGCAGGGCTGCACATCGAGTCTCAGCAGATGTGGGGCACATGGCATAAGGAAAGGCTTTTTCAAAAAAAAAAAAAATATATATATATATGGATTTCAGAGAGGAAGGGAAAGGGAGAGAGAGATAGAAACATCAATGATGAGAATCATTGGCTGCTTCTTGCATGGCCCCTACTATGAATCGAGCCTGAAACCCTGGCATGTGCCCTGACCAGGAATTGAACCGTGACCTCCTGGTTCATAGGTTGACGCTCAACCACTGAGCAACATTGGCCAGGCAAGGCAGGGCTTTTTAAGACCTCTGAGGTCATGTGAGATTTGGACTAGGTCTCATTGGAGGGGCTGCTGTCGTCCTTGCTTTTGCCCATGTTGTCCTATGACCTGTAATTCTCACCTTCCCCTCAGTTTGCCGCCTGCCTGCTCCACTCCCATCTCTGCTCAGGACTTCCTCAGGCCTCTGTCCGTGCTGGGAAGCGTCTGTTCACCTCAGCTGCACTGGAAGCCCTGCTCAGTGCTCCCATCACACGGTGCCTGCGCAGGTCTTTACAGTTACCCATTGTTTCCAAATTCTTTCCGAGTGTCTGGGCCCGTACTTTACCCAGACAGAGCAACTTAAGGGAAGGACTGGGGCCTGTTCATCTTTGTATCTCCGTCACCTTGCACACTGCCTGGCGTGTAGCAGGCTCAGTAAATACCTGCTGAGTGAATGAATCAATACATCCGTTGAGGGATGATATAAATAACTCCCACCAAGGGCTTCTAGTTGTGAACATCATTCACTTATTACAGTGCTAGTACCTTGCACGTAAGCTTATTTATAGCCTTGTAAAGGGGAATTTTTCTAGCATAAAGAATATATTTTAGACAGTTTCGGACATTAACTGAACACTTTTGAAGTAGTAGATGCATTGTATTTGTGATAATTATTTTTGTACTTAAAGCAGCAAAATTATTGAAAATTTCACATTCAGAAACAAACCCTTAGGGAACCGGATAGCATTTACTCTTATTTATTTATTTTTTACAAATGAAGGTATGGAGAGCATTTTAGTACAAAGTGGATACTTCTAATGTATTTCCTTGAATTTAGTATTAGCTTTGAGACACACACACAGATCTCTCTCTCTCCCTCCTCTCTCTCCCTCTCTCTCTCTCTCGATCTATCTATCTATCTATCTATCTATCTATCTATCTATCTATTATCTGTCTATATAATATTTATTTTTTTGGCTTCATAATATAAGACTGCTATGCAATGGGGCATAGTGAAAGTTTGTGGATTGGCAATCAAGAGACCTAGATTCTAGAATTAGCTCTACCATTAACCAGGGCATTGGGCAAGTCAGTTCCTGCTTTACATTATAAAGTGGGAGTGGCTGTACTTGTTCAGGGACTGCGAATGTCTACAGCAGTGAGCTTACTAACTTCAGTTGCTATATGTGCTCTACCATTCATTTTCCTCTTGGAACTCACAGCCCCCTTTTCTTCTGTTTTCCCGCTTTTGTTAAAATCATAGGTAGAGAGAAATATTTCTGTACCACAAGAAAAACAGTAATGCAAGGGCAGTGATATTACAATTCCAGCTCTTCTCTGTGTTGAGACACTAGGTAGTGATGGGGACTGTGGCATTGGGATAACCAAACTTGCCTATGAAGGGCAGTTACTACTTAGCATTAGCTGATCATGTTCAGACACAAATATGAGCCCATTTTGAGATCCTCTGATTTTTTTTTTTAAGAGAAGCCAGAGGTATTGGTTCCAGAAGTCTGGGTTTTATGATGTCTCTGTTTAGCTTGGCTTGCATTTTCTAAACATACCCTGTAATTCAATGTAATGCCAGTACAGGCTATATGTGACCCACTGGGCTTTCACTTTGTGCTCCCATTGTACATGATCTCTAGTGCTTCTTTCTGCACAAGATCCAGTGATTCTAAAGGGGACCATTTCAGTTGGTGAACTGAAGATTCTTGTTCTATTGGGGAAGTCAGAATGGGAAGGGAGTGGACTGGAAGAGGGGGGGAGGGTGCCTTGGTGTTTGGGTGGCCTCCTTGGAGAGAGGCCACAGGTGCCTGATTCATACCAGATGTTCTGTATGTTTGTCATTGCAGGACGCAGCATTTGTCGGAAGAGTCTGTGAAACCCTCTCTCTACCCAGAGCTCCAGGACCAATGCATCTTTCCATCGCCCTAAACCACTGGTGAATGTATGTGTGTTTTTCTTCTGCAGTGAAGGGGAATATTTTTTACATTTCAGTGTTACCTTTATTTTTATTTGCAATCAGATAATTTCACAGTTTACAAATGAAAAGGGGGCTGTGAGTTTCCTTTTTGGAAAGAAACTGATTTACTCATTACAACAGGAAACGTGTTGCCTCTGTGCAGTTGAAAGACGCGAAGATATGTGCTTAGCAATAGTGTGTTCCAGAGCTGAGGGGAGGCTGCTTTGAGGCCCGCGGGCTAGCTGATGTTGAAGGTCTTGTGTGAGCTGTGGAGGAGCCAGGAGGCAGGTTGACTGTGCTATGTGATTCCACACACTCTCTTTTGGGGAAAGCTGGCTTGTCTGATGCTGACTGCCTGGTCAGCTCCCTCCATGTGGACCAGGTGCTCTTGTGTCCCTGTGAGACAAACCCCAGTGGCACGACCACCTGAGGAGCTTGCAGGGTGCTGGGCGCTGGAGCGGGAAGGAAGGGCAGGCAGTTGGGACAGGCAGGCCTGGGGTTAGGGACCCATCTCAGACTTGAAAAGCTGATTGCCCAGATTACTGTGTCTAAAGGGACACAGTGGACATTCTGGACCCCGTATAACTGGAGTCCCATCTGATAGGCAGGAAGGCTCTGGGATGGGAGTCCCCAGGGGAGCAGATGGCCTCGGGTGGGTGGGACATTTTACCCATTCAGCAAACATGTGTTAATGCCCTTTCTGTGCCAAGGCACCGCTCTGGGCACTGGAGACAGACTGTGTGCATGTTTCCCTGGGGCTTAGATCTGAGAGAGGGTGACAAACAAGAATGTGAGCTCCTCTGGGGCAGAAGTCTGCTCATTTCATTCACCGCTGTATCCCCAGCTCTGAGAAGAGCACCTTGCTCTTGATGCGTGCTCACTAAATATTGTTTTATGAATGAAATAACTCAATAGGTAATATCATTTCGGGCAGTAATAAGTGATGTAAAAAAGAAGACAAAGTGAGGGGCTGGATGGGGCTCTTTTTGAAAGACTGGTCTGAAAAGGCTTGTGTGGAGTGGGGGCAGGGAGAAAGAGGAGGAGAGATTTTGTACAGAGATCTGAATGGAGTGAAGGGATCTGGGGAGGAGTGTTTAGGCAGAGGGAACAGCAAGCTAAAAGAGAGGCTTTTGATGATGGCGGATCTCGGCATGATAGAGGACCAGGAAGGCAGCCAGTTTGGTTGGCCTTGAGCTGAGGGGTAGTTATAGGAAGGGAGAGTGGTATGGAATGAGATCAGTGGTAGGTGGGAGCCAGATCTTGTAGGCTATGATATGGAGTTTGGATTTTCCTCTAAACGTGATTGGATACCACTGGAGATGTTTGAGTAATCTAGTGATGTGATCCTTTTTGTGCTTCACAATGATTTTTCTGGGTCCTGAGTGAAGAATAGACTTTGGGGGCAAGAGTAGAATCAGTGTAGCCTCCAGGAGGCCCTTCTAGTGGTCCAGGCATGGCTTAGATTGGTGTGGTGGTTCTAGAACAGTGATGGCGAACCTTTTGAACTTGGCGTGTCAGCATTTTGAAAAACCCTAACTTAACTCTGGTGCCGTGTCACATATAGAAATTTTTTGATATTTGCAACCATAGTAAAACAAAGACTTATATTTTTGATATTTATTTTATATATTTAAATGCCATTTAACAAAGAAAAATCAACCAAAAAAATGAGTTCGCGTGTCACAGGTTCTCCATCACTATTCTAGAATGATGTGAAGTGGTGAAGGTCAGGATATATTCAAGAGAGAACCTGCTGGATTGGGTATGGGTGTGAGCAAGAGGAGTTAAGGATGAGTTGGTGATTTGGGGAAGATGGTGTTGCTGTTTATTGAGATGGGGAGCAAAGAGGGAGGTTTAAGGGGACCCTAAGAGTTTTGTTTGGGATATATTACATTTAAGATGTTCACCTGATACCCTTATAAAGATCTAGAGTTGCCTGGGACTGGAAATGGTATCTCTGAGAATCATCCAAATGCAGACGATATTTAAAATGAAGAGACTGGAGATCACCCAGGGAGAGAACAGAGTGATAGGTAAGATGTGAACAGAAAAGAGGGAAGGCAAAGCATGCATTTTCCACATAAAATCTCTACTAAGAAGTTAATGAAGGCACATGCTAGTGAATATATGATTTCATGTAATGCAAATATAAATCATTTAAATAAGATAACATGATATGAGTAGTAACAAAGCCTCTTCTTATATAAAAATATTGGAAATACTGTGACTCCCCTAAAGCAAGAAAATTAATTTTAGTTCAGACATACAGAGAATAGGTAGGTGGTTGCCAGAGGTGGAGGGTAGAGGGGTAGGGAATGGGCAAAATGGGTGAGTCAAAATGTATAATCTTCCAGTTCTATATAATAAAAGGCTAATATTGCAAATTGTCCCCTCCACCAGGAGTTCAGCCTGGAGTTCTCCGGCTGGCTGGGCCCAATCAGCCCCATTCTGTGCGTCCAGCTGGATCCCACCCGTGCATGAATTCTTGCACCTGGCCTCTAGTTATAAAATAAGCAAGTCCTAAGGAAGTAATGTACAGCAGAGCCCAGGGGTGGGCAAACTTTTTGACTCGAGAGCCACAATGGGTTCTTAAACTGTACCGGAGGGCCGGAACAAAAGCATGGATGGAGTGTTTGTGTGAACTAATATAAATTCAAAGTAAACATCATTACATAAAAGGGTACGGTCTTTTTTTTTTAGTTTTATTCATTTCAAACGTTCCGGATCCGGCCTGCGGGCCCTAGTTTGCCCATGGCTGGCATAGCCACTATATTTAATAATATTATATTGCATATTTGAAAGTTCCTAAGAGAATAGTCTTCAAAGTTCTCATCACAAGAAAAAAAATTCTGGAAAAAAACGAAAGGAGAAAGAGAGAGAGAGAGAGAGAGAGAGAGAGAGAGAGAGAGAGAGAGAGAGAAAGAAAATTCTGTAACTATGTATGGTGATGGATGCTATCTAGACTTACTGTGGTGATCACTTCACAGTATATATTAATATCAAATCATTATGGTGAACACCTAAAACTAATACAATGTTGAATGAAAGTCATACCTCAAAAATATATAAAATGAAAGAATATTCATTTTAGAATTACATAAATTTTAAATCTGGTTAGCTAAGTGAATTAGAAACTGCATTTATGCAGTTGGCACAAGGCTGTGCCTTTGGCTGGCAAGCAGAAAGATCCAGCATCCTTTGCCAGTAGCTTGTAAACTACACTGTTCTCTATGTGCACTGGGGCTTTACAAGCTATTTTGATGACTATTAAGTTTAATTCACTGTTAGTGTTTCAGATTTTTTTTCATCCTGTAATCATATCATCCAATAGTTCATTAAATGAAGGTGCACTGAAAAATCAGTCACTTTGCAATAAAAGTTAGATGCGATAACATTTCATGAAGACGGTCAAACAGGCACCATGATTTGCACTACCTCAGTTTAGGAAGTAATTAGGATGTCTTTGAAATGATAAAGAATAAATGCTACAAGATGAAGAACAGCAAAAATACACTCTGATGCTTGTACTAGATCTATATGTTTCCAGTACCACCCAGAGCCCTCTACTGCCATTGAAAATCAGTTCTGAATCCCACACATTCTCAACTATTTGTGGGCTTCTGGCATAAAACACAGCTGTTACATACTGGTTTTACCCATTTTCCAGACAAACTGCCCTGCTGAGCTTTCTGCATAGTCTCATTGGGATCCTTAGTTTTTCCATTTTGAGGTGCATTTCTTTAGTCTTGCTATCTCCTGTCCCCATGGACAATGGGGTCCCCTTCCCACAGTTACCAGCTCAAGGCCTGCCAGCCTCCTCTCTCTTGCCTTGAGCTTGGACCCCGTCTCTTGCCTGCCCTGGTGAGCTCCCCAAGTTTAGCTCTCCCTCCAGGATTTTTGTTTAAAATGTTGGGAAAGATTTTCACTTTTTGCCCAGGCCTGGTCTTCTCAGGAATGACAGAAGAATAGGACTTAGTGCAGTACTGAGAGCAGAGGGATACTGCAGCATTCTTCACTGTGCTGTTGCAAATCACTTGGGAAATGGACAGCCCTAATGTGCTTTTACATGCATTGCAAGACCCTCCTATTTCAGTGAAATATTCTCAATGGGACTTCTTTAGCATCTAATCTCTGAAAAGCAAGCATTGATTGTACAGTGCTCAATATCTGCAACCAGTCATTTATGGCAAAATGAAGGTTTCAGTGAAGTGATATTCATGACTATTGTCATCAACCCTGTTGGTTTTCATTTGTCTTCTGATCCCACAGAATGGAACCTAAATAAGATTAAAAAAGAAATGAAACTTACAGTCATGTTGGGGAGATTTCTCCTCCCGGTTTACTTCTTCAGTAAGTGATTTTAGGAATAAAAGGATGGCACTTTCTTGAGCCCCTAGAGACTTAGAGTGGTGGGCCATTTAAAAAATGGTGGTGTCCTCCTTAAGTTAAAAGCAGAACAGTGCTGCCCCAGCCAGGTAGCTCAGTTGGTTAGAGTGTCATTCAATGCACCAAGGTTGTGGGTTGGATCCCTGGGCAGGGCACTTATAAGAAGCAACCAATAAATGTAGAAATAAGCGGAACAACAAATCGATGTTTCTCTCACTCTCTCTCAAATCAGTCAATGATAAAATTTTTCTTTAAAAAGTAGAACGATGCTTCAGTGCTTGTGTGCATGTAGACCACGCACGTCAAACTTGCAGGCCTCTGCTGTAGCCCATGAGCCGTGAGTTTGACATGCTTGATGTAGACCATCTCAGGATGAGGTGCTGGAGATGAGTAGCCTTGTGGGGAGGGCAGTGGTGTAAGAAGGAGACTTATTTTTCACTGTGTAGCCATTTATACTTCTAAATTTTTTGTGTCATGTTTATGTATTAGCTTTAAAAAAGCATGACAGTATCCCTTTTAGGCTTAATCCACGATCTAGAAATATTTAGAGTTCCTTCACTGCTTGGTTTTCTGAGTGCTCTTGCTCGACGTGTGTTTTG